AGATTATCACAATCCAAAGTACAAGAGCAAGAAGCTGTTTCAGATGAAGACGAAGTTTCTCTGGCCGAGATAAGAAACAGAAATAGTAATCAGGTTGAGAAAGTTCCATTGGCAAAAAGGTTAGACGGATTTATTGAAAGTGCAATATCTGCTACTGCCTCAACAAGTAGAAGAGCAATCATACAAACGTCATTAGCTGCAAAACCAGATCGATTGTCAAAAGTCAAAAGTTATAAAACGGGAAATGATCTTTTTTCAGGATGGCGGTTGTCAATATTTGCAGCTATGTTACGAGCATTTACTGACCATTCCACCCACCAGCGTCCAATCGGAGAGAGCTTTTTCAGTTGCCGGTGGATTTTGTAGGAAGCTTCGTTCAAGATTAGATGATAAATCCTTAAATGCCCTCGTGCCACTTAAGTCATACTTTGGACAGAAGTGATGTTTCTCGTTATATACTTATATTTTTTTAGTTTATATAGTTTTTTTATAGCTTTATATTTGCCATGTTCGCATGAGTTCATGTCAATTTTTTTTTTTTGTTTTGATCTTTGTTGGTTAACCATTTAGCAGTATAAATAAACCTGAGTTCTAAGTTAAATTAATTTAATTTCTTATATTTTCTCAAGACAGATCTAATCGATATTAGATAGGTATACTGTGTATTTTAGTTTCGGGACCAGTTTCGGGACTCCCGGGAAGTCCCGAAAGCATTTTTGGTCCCGGGACTTGGATTCCCTAAACGCCAACGTGCCAGCAAAATACAAATACAAGTTAAGTTGGGACATCCGTAACTCTACCCTAAAAATATTCAATAATAATAACGAATCTAATAAAGATAATATATCATCTTTACCTGTAGCTTCGAAATAGCAGCTGATTCAAATTATACAGCAAGATTTAAATAATTGCAATTTCTCTAAGCAGGGCTCTGAAGGTGAGCGTCTGGCCAGAGGCCAGACTAAAAGTGAAGTTAAGCGCGGAGAGACCTTGGAGCGATGTTGACAGCGCCTCCACAGAACAGTGAAACGATAGCAGGGTTGCTGACTAGAGAACGTAAAAATTAGGCCAAGCGCGTCAAATAAATTTTCCGGCCTAAACGAAGGACGTTATAACTAAAGACATGTAACGAACTAAAAATGTTACAATATGTTTCCAAGAAATTAGTTGCAATTGCTCTTCGGAATGTAAGCTGGTCCATTTTTCCTCCTTGAAGTCTATGAATCTGCCAGGCATTTTGCACGCTCATGTCGATGCAATGGGAAAAGAGCGGAAAGTATTGAAATCCTGTTAAGCCCAATGTTTTGATCTGATCGATCAACTCCTCCCATGTTGGCGTTATAACTTCTTATCAAATCTGGTTGATCAACTAGTATGTTCTTTTTCTCTTTCTGAGAATACCGCTTCACTTGATGAACAGGCTCAGATTAACATGCATTACTAGCTATAGAAACAACATTATTGTCGTTCCATTTACATACAAATATTTTTGCAGTATTACTAACGTCATAGGAAGTTTCGAATTTTTTTAGAATCTTCGAAGAACTTATAGGGCACGAACCAAGTCTGTTTTCCCTTACTGTACCTGTAGCTTTTATGCCTCTCTGAGTAAGTATATCCAGTAATGGAAGGGTCGTAAAAAAATTATCAAAGTAGAAATGAAAATGATTTCCTGGTTTTGATCCATGTAGAGCATCAGCAAAACGTAAAATTACACCAGGCCCTAGTCCCAGGTCTTTATAAGGATTGACATGTTGCTGATTATACGATCCCTGATATGGTTCAAACCATGCCACATAACCTAGTCTAGTTGATCCTGCCCAGAATTGCTTTTTTTCATCGATGCAGTAATTTCCTTCATTCGGAGAAAAGAGCATAAATCGCTGATTCAAAGCATTGAAAAGCGGCCTCATTTTGGGGAATTTATTGCTTTTATCCAAAGCATTATTATCACAGCAATGGATATTTTTCATTATGTATGTAAACCGATCTCGAGACAATGCTGAAGCAATCAGCTCATTATTAGAGTCCTTAGCAGTTTCCCAATACATGAACCGTTTTGGTTCTCTGACGTAGCCACTAACCATCAAAATACCAATAAAGCATTGTATTTTCTCAATAGTTATGTCTACATGACGGTTGTTTTGTCTACAGTAATTTTATTGTTGGTGTGAAAAAACAAAAGGCGAAAAACATCATTATCAAAAAACAATTTGAATAAACTCAAAGGAGAAGCATTGTTCTGAGGTTCCATTGGGGTCAAAGTCAGAAAAATTAGCAACAGTAGAATTATTTGTCCATGAAAAAGATTTGGCTGCTGTTATAATTTCCTTTTCTGCTTCCGTACTATTTGAAGTAAGTTTTGATTTGCCACAAAATATTGAGAGAGGAACATCATCGTCAGAATCCGTCTCTGAATTAGAGTTATTCGGGCCAATAATTTCGACTGGTGCTCGTAGCTGACTTCCGGGTAGATTATTTAAATCTACAAACTCCTCATCACCAGAATCCTCGTCAGTATGGTCTTCATTCCCAGTTTCAGGCGGAAAAATAACCATATCTACAGGACTGTGATCTTTTTCAATATACGCATTTTCAGCTTCATTGAGGAGCTCATGAAGAGTAAGAGGTCTCCGGTTAGAGCTGGAAATAAAATTTAAAGATTAAAGTAAGAGCGTAGCAAGGAAATTAACGTTTTGAACGGAATAAAAAAAATCAAAAGTTTCTAACTTCCTAGGTATAAAAATACTCCCACTTAAATTCTATTGGTTGCCGAAATTACTAGCGTCCTTTTAAAAGGACGATACCAAAAATAACCCTAACCGCAAATAGTAAATGTATGCATTCGATTTTTAACATATCCTAACCTCTAAACGAGTATTTGTGAAGAACACAGTTTTAAACCAATAGTTTTCATACTATCTATATTACTTACTTCCAATTACTCATGGTTCCTTTCCAAAAAATACACGACTTAAAAAACACGATTACTTTTTACAAAAATCTGAAAAACTGACAGCCAGGCTTTTTAAAATGTGTTTAGAAGTATCCGGAATACATTTCCACAACAAAACTGGTGGCTCCATCTCACAGGCAACCGCCATACTTTAAATTATAGAGCTCTGTATGGCGTCCTTTTAAAAGGACGATAGTAAGATTTAGGTTAAGTATTTACTAGTAAATACTTAGTCTATTCCATATCCTAGCTTTTTATTATCAATTCACCATCCAAAACAATAATAAAATCACAAATTTAAAAGAAAAAGCTAGTTGCCGGCGGTCAGGGTCACTTTTTACATAACAAGCGCATGACTGAAAAGCTTTTTAGTTGAGTATACAGCAATCTAGTGACATTGTTAGAGTATTTTATAAAGTACTTACATATCGGTTTTATAGTTGAGGAATTTCATACCATAATATACGTGATTTATAATGGACAATTATAAAGCTTAAAAACCGCGGGAAAAAGCTTTATATTTGATTTATAAATGCTTTATAATGTACTTTATAGGCGATTATAAAACTACCAATTTACACCAGATTCTGTTTAAGGGTAAAATAAAATTTTTATTAAAGTTATAAAATGTGCCTATTTTGGGTATATGAGCACTATTGAGCACTATGAGCACCACAGAACGTTGTACGGGGTGTCCCACTAAGAATATCTCTCGGCTGAATCTCGGAAAGTATTAGCCGTAGGGCCTGCGGAAAAAAATATTTATAACTAAAGAGGCTATGAGAAATTGCTGGAAATTAATTTCAAGTCTGTTGAACAACCGCTAGGGGGCCCAACTGCAACAAAAAAATAAGTAAATGGAGTTTTTTACACAATTTTGCCTAGATAAGGTGTACTATAAGTAATAGCTTCATAATGTTCAGTAAATCTTGAATATTTTTTGTTAAAACCATTTTCCCCTATCTACGAAAATAAAGTTGTGGTTAGGTTAGGTTGGGTTAGGCAACAACTTCAACTATTTCAAATAATAAAGGCATTTTGAAAAAGCAATTAAAAGATAAAAAAAACGCTGATAAGACTATCAAAATGTTGATCTAATAACAATCCAAAGTCTATCATTCTATCACTCACAGTCTATCACTTCACTGAATCATCGTTTCTTGTTCACTGTTATTAATATCTTAATTATTAGATATTAATACCTCTGGTTTATTTTTTGGTATTTAATTATAATTTTGCTAATATCTTCGATTTGAAAGAAGATATCAAAATGCGATTTTCGCTGACTTTTTAAGCTTTTACTACTCTTTACGCGCAATGTTTGTTAAATTGTAAGACAACGGCCCCTAGCGTCTACGTTCAAAAGCTTATTATTATTGTCTATATGGTACAATATAGAGTAAGAAACGCTCTTTTAAACGAGCCCTCGCTTGTTGGATTCCGATCATCCAGTCCAGAGTTATTAATATTTAAATAAAAACAGATCTAACCTTCCCCCAACACTTTATTTTGGTAGATAGGAGAAATGGCTCTAACAAAAAATATTCAAAATTTACTGAAGATTATGAAGCTATTACTTACAGTACACCTTATCTAGGCAAAATTGTGTAAAAACTCCATTTTCATATTTTTTGTTGCAGTTGCGTCCCCTAGCGGTCGTTCTACAAACTTGAAAATAATTTCCAGCAATTTCTCATAGCCCTTTAGTTATAAATATTTTTTCCGTAAACCCTACGGCTAATACTTTCCGAGATACAGCCGAGAGCTATTCTTAGTGGGACACCCGGTACAGTATAAATAATAAATCATTAAGATGGATAATTTAGTGATGTAGTAGTTCTCTCAGCTTTTACAAAGCAAGTTGTGTTACTTGGGAAATTTGTTAATTAAATTATTTCAATATAGTGGAATTTAATTAATAAATTAAGTTTGATGCCACCAAGTAACTGCAGAATCAATTCAATTATAACATAATTTAATTTTAAATCGTTTTTTAAATCTCCAGTCGTGGCCTTAATTTTTCTTAATATACTATTTTTTACAGATGGGTGACTCGTGTAACGGATACCTTTACTGCCACAAAAATATTTGCCCTTTTGATAATCGTTGCTGCAGGAGCCTATCATCTATTTACGGGACACTCTGAAAATTTCGACGCGCCCATGGAGGGCACCAAAATGGACCCGGGATTCATAGCTCTAGCTTTTTACAGCGGCCTATTCTCGTACTCCGGATGGAATTACCTCAATTATGTTACGGAGGAACTTCAAGATCCTTACAAGTGAGTTTAATCAATGCATCAATCCAATTTTTCATAATTTACGACTGTAATGTCAATATTTTATTTTTATATTTTGTTGACTTCTTAGACCCTCTTTTCTATAATTATGGTTAACTTTTTCTTGGTATTTGGTCTACCTTTAATAATACAATTCAATTAGAGTTATAACATAATCTTTAATAGTATTCCAACGTTTCGATCACATTTTGATCTTTTTCAAGGAACAACTACAAATAACGATAATAATAATTTTAAATTTGGCTTCTTTACAATAAAAATGAAAAAAAACTTACTATTGAACGTAGATATATTTTGTCATTTACACACACATGTCCAAACATTTAATTACATTAATTAACTTTAAAAAATTGACACACATACACATTTTTAAAAATTATAAATAAAATTTCGGTAAGTTTTGTTCCGCCGGACAATATTCTAGCTATACGAGTACTAAACCTCTTTACAAAAACTTATAACTTACTAAACTTATCAATCGCACCTAAAGAACTACACTCAGATGCAAAAAAACGCAACGGAGAAAATTTTAGTTAAATTTAAAGTGTTATATATTTGTTATTTTTAGCCCTATTTTCATGATTTTTTAGCAAAGGTTTTAATAAACATTAATAACGATAACAGAACTAATGATATTAAAAAAAAACATCTGAAATACTGAAGTATACAAACAGAAAAAACAATTGTAAAAATACCCCCAAACCAAACACTTTGTATTGCCCCCCTTGGCTCCCTGCTACAACTACCTGTATACGTCCGTTCATACTGTCATTGAGGCTGCAAGTATCATATTGCGTTATGCTTTCCCATTCTTCTTTAACAACCAAGCAAAGTTCATTTAATGAAGCTGCCAAGCATTTCCCAAACGTCAAACATGATGGGCAGTGCATAATATATAGTTCACAATAATCACCAAAGCCGCCTTGTCATATTGAAAAAAAAACTTCAAAAAGAAATGATAATTGAAAAAATTGCAAATTGTTGGTGGCAAGTTCATTTCACTATTAAAAATTAACTAAGGCCGTACTTCTGACCGTAAAATTTTATTTTAGGAAAATTCCACACCTGTAATTTTTAACCAATCAAAACGTGTTTTTTTGACAAATCACCATGGCAACGGATAAATTTTAGTGAAAATTTTCTCCTTGTGGGCACCCAACAGCGAATTATACTGGAAATTTTTTGACGTTTATAATGACAGAATATCTTTTTGAGAGTCTGGTTTTTATTTGTTTACATGATAATTTTGATACATTTCAATTACAAATCTGAGATGTTTTCTATATTCTTTGGACACCTCCTTTCTTCTTAATGGCGAAAATTTAGGACTTGGAATGGACTGAATTAAATATCTATGTCTAATGAAATATATATAATATTTAGACATTATTTTATTCACCTTTTTTCTATTTAGCACTTTGAATTTTGAGTAGTTTAGATGCAAATATTCAATTTTGACCCATAGTCTTCAAGAATGAGCGCCAGTTCTTCCACAGGTATATCGGCTCTGTCCAAATCATACGATTTTTGCGCAAAAGTTTGTAAACTGCTTCCATACGCTTGACTTCGATTTCCTAGTATTCGCGGGTGTCAACTGCTTAATCTCCTGGCGAATATATTTTCTTTGCTTTCTTGACCGAAGCGAAACATTTTTTTTAAGTCGTGCCGCTTGACAGCTTCAAAACTGAAATAGTTTTTAGGTTTGGGTTGGTTTGGGTGTCACTTAGTTGCCATAGTAACTAAATAATGAAGTCGACCAAAAATCGAAAAATACATTTTAATTATTTGATTTTCAAACACAATTTGGTGTGGAATTTTCTTACCGAATACCACACGAGGTCAAATTAAATCCGGAATTTTTTTCTCGCTCTTGAATATTTTTAGAAAATTATCCCTCGTCTTCGACTCGGGATAATTTTCAAAATATTCATGAGCTCGAAAAAATTTCCGGAAATAATTTGACCTCTAGTGGTATTACTAGTGAAAATTTACACAGGAAATTATTGCACAAGGTATTTTAAAGTTAGGATAAAAAACAACCCCTCGATTAACTCTGTATAATATGCCAAATACAGTGCGACCTCGATAATCCGGACTAATTAAAACCGCGGTGATCCGGATTAGTAAATAATTCGGATTACTGAAGCGAGACAAGTTTTGTATTGGAAATTGACATATTTATTAAAAAATAGAACATACATAAAAACATTCAAAAATATTTTTTTTTAATAAACTAACTTATTTTGTAAAATAATTTGTAATTTTTTGTTGCTTGTTCTTTTTGTGATTCATTATAAAGGCCGCTTCCTTTAATCTTTGGAGGACAAGAACTTCAGTCAAAGGAATATCATTTTTTTCAGCCCACTTAATGCAACCATTAAAACTTTTAACTGCTTCATCATTCTTAACAACCTTAACAGTCTGGTTTGTATTATTCATTTCGGAACCTTCATTATCACTTTCGCGTTGTTCATCTATACCATCTACGTCTTCCAGTGGTAACAAATCCTCATCATTTTCAATCCAATTGGATATTTCCAAATCCGTGAGATTTTGTTCAGAGAGAACATTCAGCATATTCGAAACATCTGTAAGAATATAAATTAACTGTGGAATACTCGAAACTGTGGAAAAACTTTAACTTTGCTACGAACACTGACTCGGCCACTTTAAAATGAGTTGAACAATTCGGTGAGCTCATTGTAGGTCTTGTCTTCGGGTAATCTTGGCAAAGCCAGATTATAAATAAGTTTATATGCTTCCTCATCCAGAGCATTAAGCAACAATACCTTCCTCTTCTCGTTGTCAGTTATACTATTTACGGTGAAATAATTTTCCAGACGCCTTTTATAAATGACCCATTCACTATTTTGAGCACTGAATTCTCTGATTTTTCCATAATATGATGGATTCTCAGTTTCCCCCATTTTATTTTGAAATCTTCCTTCAAAATATGTATTCTTCCTTCCAAGAATAGAGACTAACCTGATTATTTTTTATCCTCGTCGCCATTGTGGAATACTCGGTGGTTGAGTGGAGATCAAACTATATATATATTTTAATAATAACTATATTTTAATAATGTTTAAAACAGCCAGTATAAACTCTACAATGAAACTGCGTCTTAATATCAAAATAAGATTTTATATATCGCAGAACTAGAATAAAAACAACATTTTTTAAATTCTATGTACCTACAGAAATATCGAAATAAATATATTACATTAACAATAAAAAGTATTGAAGTCTAAAAAATTGTATGTTCCGCAATTGACTCAAAGGAATCAGATCTTCAGCGTCATATTCAGTGTCCAGGTTGGTGTTTGACACGTGGATCATAATTTTATGCCAGCACTTTTTCAAGACTTCGGGAGAAACTTTTTCCCAAGCATTGCATAGTAGGCAAACAGCGTCCTTTAAGTTGATGATTTTCAGCAATTTAACAACGTTTTCTTCGTTACTAGATAAGATATGGGCTAAAAGACTTTTCCGATAAAATAATTTTGTCAGTCTTATGGCATTTTGGTTCATAGGCTGCAAAAGTGCTGTACAATTCGGTGGAAGAAATAGTGTCGTAAATTGTCCATCCTCACTAGTCAGCTCTTCTATAAACCCATGGCTAGAGGCGTTATTGACGATCAGCAGGGCCCCTTCAGGCAAATTGAGGCTTTTCAGATGACTTCTGACTTCACGAATAAAGGAGAAATGAAACCAGTCTAAAAAAATTGCTGTAGTCATCCATGCATTGATAGATGATTTATATTCTACAGGAAGATTTACGTTTTTAAAAGCCCTCGGATTTTTCGCCTTGCCCACCACTAACAGCTTCAATTTTTGTGAACCATCAGCGTTACAACATTCCAGAAAAGTAACACGTTCTTTGCTTATTTTTCGATCCGGTGCAGTTTTCTTCTGAGAACGAACCAGCGTTTTCTCAGGCAACATCTTCCAATACAGCGCAGATTCATCTGCGTTGTATATTTGAGTAGGTCCGAGGTTTAATTCTTTTACCTTCTCCGGGAATGTAGTAAGGAAAGGATCGACGGCACTTTGATCATTTAACAGGTTTTCGCCACACACTTTTAAAGCACGCAAACCATGTCTTTAAAGTCGTCCTAAAATTGTCGTTCCCATAGGTTTCAGTGTAAAACTGTCTTGCTTTGGCAAATAAAATTTCATAGGAAATTGGGACGTGCCTTGATCGTTGCGTACAAAACCAAGCATACAAACAAGTTTCCATTTCTGGATATTCGGCTTTTCGTAGGGTCTTTTTAGCGCCAGGACCAAAATCACATTTGGCGATAAATCTAGAAGTTAGTTACACAATACATGTCTGAAATGATTTTTAAAATTAATCATACCTTTTAAATTTCTGTTTGTTTTTTTTATATCAGAAATTGTTGACGTCCCTACTCCATACTCATTTGCCAACACTTTTCCACTTTCACCACGAGCTAGTCTTTCTAATACATCGGACTTCTGTTTAATTATTAGTGTAATATGCTTTCGTTTAGATGTCATTCTAATACGTCTGTAGTCACGTAAAAAAGTGTTGATAACCTATGACTTATATACCAAACAACAAACAATTTATTGTAATTACTCTTCTGACGCGATGCATTGCAAGCAAATCAAGGACGCAAACTATTTATGTGAAGCCTAGAAGTTAAACACGGCCGAATTTAGGAAGTTCGGGGAATCCCCCAGCACCGATTTAGATTTACATAATGTATAATATGTAATTTGAATGAAACAGTGGCCTAAAACGCAGACCCGGATTACCGAGTATCATAAAATCCGGATCATAAAGTACATAATGCAACTGAAATGCATGTCCGGATTATTGAATAATTCGGTATAATGATGATTCGGATTATCAAGGTGCACTGTTCTAAAGTTTATAAAAAGCTAAGTTTACGAATTAAAGTCGATATAATTATATACAGCTTGCTAAAAAATTCGTGAAAATAGGGCTAAAAATAACAAAAATATAACACTTTAAATTTGACCAAAAATTTCTCCGTTGCATTTTTTTGCATCTCAGTGTATATACAGATTATTTTTTTTTGTTTTTTGTAACAAAAAAAAATTTAAATTATGTATGTCCTTTTTGTCATTAACAGTATTTTGATTTTTTTGAATTGCCACCATTTCGAAAAACTCGCGCTTTTTCGGTTTTGTTCTGTCTTTAATATTTTTGTTTCGCCAAAGTTGAATGAAAGTTTTATTTGAATTTATTAAACATTATTTTACATTTTAGGAACCTTCCACGGGCCATCTGCATCTCTATGCCTTTAGTTACCGGTATCTACGTCGTTACCAACATAGCCTACTTCGTCGTGTTGAGTCCCTACGACATCCTAGCTTCGAATGCTGTAGCCATGACGTTCGGCGACAAGATGCTGGGCTTTGTGTCGTTTGTTATGCCCGTGTTTGTAGCCTGCGCCACTTTTGGTTCGCTGAACGGTGCAATATTTGCTTCTGCGAGGCTCTTTTTCGTTGGGGCTAGAGCGGGCCATTTGCCTCGAGCCATCGCTCTCATTGATGTTAAAAGACTGACACCTGTGCCGTCACTCATTTTTATGGTAAGTTAATTAATGTATTAAACTGCTAGAGTTACAAGTTCACTAATAATAAATAACGCTTTATAGTGCAAAAAGCCAAAATAGCTTCATTGACACAGCATTTACAAAACAAACAAAAGCACAGAAAATATACAAACAATAAAAAATATACAATACAAATTATACAATTCAAAAAATTTAAGTCATTAAAATTACAAACAGAACATCATGGACAATTGCAGAACACAAAAAAGACGTATCCATGAAATTTTACAATAGGAAAATTGTAAATGGATATAATTTTAAGAGTTATAAAATATTAAATACTTGACCCTTGACCAGTGTATGAGATGATCAAAATTGTTCATGATTAAACATCAACAAAAAAGTCGTTTACCGCATATAGGGCTCTCTCCAGTAAGTATGATTTCAGAGCTTTGCGAAATGCGGGAAAGAATGAAAGCGACTTGTATTCAAAGGTAGATGATTGTACATTTTTTTGGTATTGTACAATATTGAGCCCTTAACTAGTTCTGAGCTCGGGGTTGCCAGATATAGATCGTGCTCCGCATTCCTAAGTAGTTAGTTGTGAGATGGCCTTTCGGGAATAGCAGATATGTGCTTGCGGATTAAGCAAACGGATTCAAAAATGAATAAAGAAGGAAGAGTCGGTATTTTGAAATGTTTAAAGAAATTTTGGCAGTTAGTTCTACTGTTCAGTCCCAATAAATATCGAACCTCTTTTGAAGTTTGAAAATAAGATCAAATTTTGTTGCGCAGCAAGTACCCCAGAATGGAAGGGCATAACGAAGAGGTGACTCAAAAAGGGCAAATAGGCTATTCTACAGGTTGATAAGTTAAGTTCCTTAGAAGAACAGTCCACGACGTCAATACTGGTGTTATTAAGTACAAAAGGTTGTAGAGTACTTTTATATGACAAAACTTTAGTTTTTGATAGGTTGAGGCATAGGACATTAGAATCGCACCATGATTTAATGGTGTATAAGTCACTAGATATAGTATTAAGTACAAAAGGTTGTAGAGTACTTTTATATGACAAAACTTTAGTTTTTGATAGGTTGGGGCATAGGACATTAGAATCGCACCAAGATTTAATGGTGTATAAGTCACTAGATATAGTATTATATAGTGCCGCAACATTTGGGCCGCTCTAAGTGAAACTAGTATCGTCCGCAAAAAGGCAGATTTTACCGCTAACGTCTAGATTTTCATTGTCGTTGATAAACACCAAAAACAAAATAGGGCCAAGTACTGAACCCTGAGGGACACCACATTCTATAGGCTTACAAGAAGACATAGACGTATCAATCCTTACAAGCACCAGTTCTGTTGCTAAGATATGACTTAAGTCACTCGAGCGGGACTCCCCTGAATTCATAGTATTGTAATTTGTTAATTAAGATATTATGATTTACACAGTCGAAAGCCTTAGAGAAATCACAGAAAATTGTAGCTGTAGAGTGATGATAATTCAGGCCATAGCAGGGTTTCTTAAACTTTTTGCAGTCACGGGCCACTTTCGCAATTTGTACAATTCCACGGACCCCTATCAGAAATAATAGAGGAAAATAAAAAAAACCTTATTTATATAAAAAGAAAATGTTTATTAGTAGATTTATTACACGTACACTAGTAAATTAGTGAGAAGGATGCAGCTGTTTAGCATCAATGAAAACGTTAAATTGTGGGGTTATCTTCGACAAGGCAAGGCTCATATCATCTGCGACGTTCAATCGGTTGCGACTTTTTGTTTTTATTGAGACCAGAACCAAGAACCCTGCCTCGGCAAAGGTACGTAGTAAAGAGGGTAAGCTTGACTTAAAGAACACCAAAACTCGCCAAGATCTCTTGCATGAAATTCAGCTTTCAAAACTTCTTTTGATCATCAATCTTTAATGAGATCTTCATTGCTGATATTATCCGTGTCGATTATAAATGGACCCCGCACCTAAGTTTCATTTTCAAGCGATTCTAAATTAAATTAGCCTCCAAAAGAAGTTTGCAATGTGTCCAAATGCTTAGACACCTCTTTATGTAGCATTTTTGATATCGTATTGCCGTCACCTTGTGCTATTAACTCTTCAAACATTGAAAAATTTGCATAGTTACCAGATTCCACCCTCCTTTTCCAAAGTGGCAGTTTACATACAAAACCTTTCAACCGTTCAGATGCCTCCACGATGGTCACCGCAGAGCCCTGAAGAGACAAGTTAATCTCATTCAATTGAGTAAATATATCTGCCAAATACGCTAGCCCCTGTACCACATTTTCGCTCTCAAGATATTTGGACAGTGAATTTCCTTTATCTTTTAGAAAAAGTAACACTTCTGTCCTCAACTCAAACAATCGCTTTAAGACCTGTTCTTTTGACAGCCAACGAACTTCTGTGTGGTAAAGCAGTACTTCATGTTCTGACCCCATTTCTTGACCCCAAGTCTTTTAGCAAAATAAAAGCTGTAGCGTTTTTTAAACAACTACCACTGCGAACGGCAGCTTTTCATCGGAGAGCAGTCGTGGATAAGGTATTTCACTAGAGAGAAAATTAATCAATAATAATAAACAAAAGATATATAGATATTGGGCGCCAGGCATGTACAGAGAAAGAAAACACAGTTGTATAATACTTAAAACTAATGACTATATTTATTCGTGATGAATTCTGATGGTAAATAGCATTGTACAATTAATATAATTATTATAGTGGTTACTTGTCGAGTAGAACTATATATGTAAATAATATTAAATATGTTCTATGAAAAGACTATAAAGAAAATACAATGCGTGTAACGTTATAGAAAATATAGGAAAAGTAGCATTACTTTATTTAAATTGTTAAATTTAAACGGTGTTAAAGCGCAAGAGCTAGTTGCAACCTGTAGATTCTAGAATCTATCTCGTAATTCATTTGTTAGTATAGCGTAATAATAATGTCTATAGAAAGTAATACTATTACAAGGTGTAATATAATGAAACCTAAAATCTAAATCACATTGAAACTACTGCATCGACATAAATGTTCTTATTAATCTAACCACTAAATATAGTCTGTACGATATTATTTAAAATGTACGTTACTGTTTAAGACTGAAAACATTTTAGATGTTAAATGCAAAACTAGAACTTAACTATACACTTAGCTGTTCTTTTATGTAAACCTGCTTCAAACAGTAGCAGCGCGAGGAGGTCTAGCATCTCTGTACTGTCTGTCGGCGATCCAGGCTTAGAAATGGGGGTGAAGCAGCACGGGGCTCAAGCCACATCCACGCTGGGGCAATCTATGTGTAAGACAAATTAATCCTACTGGGGACACTTGTCCATGGGACATCCGTCCATAAGATAGTGGCACAGGAGAACACTACTAGGACCTTGAAAAATAGTCCATACCTTGGACACTTGTCCGTAAGACAATGTCCGTCCGTAAGACCCTAAGAACACGAAACTCTTGTTTAAAATCAAACACCGTCTAATAAACAAAATGAACCTACCTCGAAATACTTCCGAGGGCTCAAGAAATAATAAACAATCTGTCCTTTCTTCCAAATGACATTCTGGAGGACAAAAAGCAAAGGGACGCCAACGTGCCAGCCAAATACAAATACAAGTTGGGACATCCGTAACTCTACCCTAAAATATTCAATAATAATATCGAATCTAAAAGGATAATATCTCATCTTTACCTGTTGCTTTGAAATAGCAGCTGATTCAGATTATACAGCAAGATTTAAATAATCACCATTTCTAAAAGCTGGGATAAAACAGAGCGTCAAAACAAAGTGAGGTTAAGCACGGAGAGTTGACAGAAGCGATGTTGACAGCGCGCGCCTTCACAGAATAGTAACAGGGTTGTGTCGAACGATCACAGGGTTGGCGACCAGGGAACGTAAAAATGACGCGTCAAATAATCTATCCGGCCTGAACGAGAGGGAATCCGGTGATGATAGGCCGGACATCATATATTATATGTAAAAAAGACATGTAACGAACTAAAAACGTTACAAAGCACTAAATCACCACAATACACCAAAACGCTTTTACTTTTACACTGGACGCGCGTTTCGCTAACCATGTTAGCATCATCAGCAGATGATTATAAACTCTCAGTTTATAAGGTCAGAACATGAAGTACAGGTCAGAACATGAAGTATTGCTTTACCACATTATAAACTCTCAGTTTATAATTATCTGCTGATGATGCTAACATGGTTAGCGAAACGCGCGTCCAGTGTAAAAGTAAAAGTGTTTTGGTGTATTGTGGTGATTTAGTGTCTTTATTTTGGTGTGTAACACCAAAGGTTCCAACCCTCAACTGTAACCCAAGTCTTTTAAACAGGCGGTGGTTTAAGGCTCTTGCTCTGATGAAGTTAATTATTTTGACACATCTAGACATAACTTCCTTTAGAAATGTATAGAGGAAGATCCCAGAGCTCCCAGACGTCACTTATTTTCTGATGGACAAAATATATACGAGTGAGTAGTGGTGGGGTGTGCTATGATCATATGACTAGTTGCTACCTTGGCCAGACGGCCCTTTTTCAGGTAGCAATTAATCAAGGTACATAGAAATACTGCTCACTTCACTTAAATTCTGATAGCTGATTTTAACATATATTTCACACAATATCGTTAAAAATCAGGATTCATTACTCCCAGACACATGCGGTCGGCCGTTTTACCTTACAGACGCTTCAAAGCTATTAAAAAAATATTAATTAAGGTCACTTATTTTCTGATGCTTGATTTTTATATATGTTATTCAAACAACTATTTTAAAACGTTTTGCAAACGGACAGACCGATCCAAGGGGCCAAACATTCACCAGACCCAATTTTCATGTCGCTGAGAGTAGGGGCACGGGCATTATCCGTGCGCATAAGTGCGAGTGAGACAGACATGAGTGTCATTGCTTCTCTCCTTCTATTTGAAAATCACGTAAATAATCAAAGATTAACTTTGAGAAAAGTGCTCATCTGACCGCAATAATTATACAATTGTACCTTACAAACTGTTTTATTAATTTAAATTTTTTTAAGTAAGTTAATTTTAAATTTTTAAAGTAAATATCAAAAGGTTTACAAAGTATTAATAATTTAATTAAATAACAGCAACCTTTTCAAATAATTATTTATTTGTAACGAACCTTAAAAAACTATCAAAAATCGACAAATATTTTTTTACATAAGTTTGTAAGATTGATTTGTAAATATTCGACTGGCTTCTAATCTTCATTGTCATCGTCGTTGAAGTCAGGTAATTCATCATCGATCCTATCTTGATATTGAATATCTAAATCATCATCTTGTTCATCAGTATTTTCCTCGGGCGTTTTCGCTGTAAAAAAGTAAAAACAAACCAACCAATTAAGATTTGGAAAACTAAAGAGACATCAAAATTATGAGAAGCTAAAATAAATTACCTAATTCTTCCTCCAAGGACTGACTGACAAAATCCGGCAATTGATCTCCATCAAACCAATGAAAATGATATTTATCATCTTCTAATGTCCAGCCAAAATTTTCGGGATTGAAAATATTAATCATTTTTGCACTAGCATTGTTCCAAACACTAGCAATATAGTTAGCTCGTCGAAACTGTTGCCGAAGTTCGCTTTTACAAGGTGGTAAGTTAGTAGCATCGAAGTTTTTCATATTTTTTTGCATAAATTTTTCATTAACATCACATACCATATATGTATTAATAAACAGCTGAAGTCTGGCAGCATTTACATCCATTACTCCTGGTACGTTATAAACATCACATATAAATCTTTGTACTATATTGAATACACGTTCTTCTTCGTCTACATCATCGATCAAATTCAACGTGCCAAAGGTGAGAAATGCTTGTTGGTATTCTTTATTTTTTTTAAGAATACTAAACGGCCTTTGTTTTCCCTTTTTGAAAAATGCGGGATTATAATCGCATCCAGTAATAGCATGGAATCCTGGTAGACTTCGACATAACGACGGTCCTAACTGTTTGTAGATACTGCTAATATCAACATATCGCTGATTGTTACCAGTGCCGGTTAATATCCACACGTGTGAATCATCATTTTTTAAATGATGCATATTTCCTAGCATTATCGCTGCAATATCCGTATCTGAACATCGTATCACAAAATTAGCTCGAGCATCAGTGTTGCAAACATGATAAACAATCTTTGTATCAGCTTCCTCATGCTGGGGACACGATAAATCTTCATTGATTTCAGACATAACTTTATTATTACTCACGGTGAAAGAGTGACATTGTCGAAAATTAATGTAAACTTGATTATTACCAATGAATGGAATCATCTCCTCACTAGTCCAGTGCAATATGAAGAAATCAACGAGAGCCTGTTTGAAGTGGATATTTTTTAACTCTTTCGTGAAATTTGATGGACGAACTTGATCTGGCCCAGTAATGTTGAATTCCAGTAGTGATGATTCATATCGGCGAGATCTTTCATAATCTTTAATGGAAGGGGAAAAATACTGATCAAATATGACATCATATCTCGTGGCTTTCAACTGTGTCACCATTTGTAGTAATTTTTTTGCGATATTTCCAAAAGTTTTAGGCACATTATTCATAGTATAGAGCAGAAAGAAACCATCAATTATCAAAATATCAATGTGAGAAGGTAGGTTGTGTTGTACGCCTTTTTCCAATGATTTCATCAGAACCGACTTTTGGGTTTTACAGATGCCACCGTCGAAATGACACATGGATAATGGCACTGGCGTTATGGGGTATGATAAAATTTTGGCTATATCGACTTTGTGATCAATCGATATTCCAAGCATCCGCCCAAACAGATCTCTTTGAGTACGTACTTCTAGCACTTTACCACCTACCTTAGTTGTTGTTGTTTTCTTAGCATAATCTAAAGAAAAGTTTTCCAGTGGCACTTTTTTTATGCTCTTTTCGAACCTATATTCATCGTTTTTACATTCTGCGATGAATGTTTGACGTCTTATGTCTCCATTCTTCTCAACATTGAGAAGAAATTTTTCTACGACCTCTGAGGCTGCTTTTCCAGATGAAATATTAAGCAAAAGATCTTGTGGTACTTCAGGACTAAACGGATTGATGAATCGATCGAATTCGTCGATAAATTTTTGTAATTGTTTGGTATCATTCTTCATATTATGATTAGACACCTCGGCTGTAACATCTTGTATTTGTTGTAAGTCTAGATCTTTATAAACAGAACTAATTATTGTTGATCGTATATCATGACTGCGAGCCCATCGTTGGCGTGCTGATATGGAATTGGTGAATTGGATTATTCCTGAAAAATATAAATTTACGGTTTTTGTATATTCAATTTTTTTTGACATATTCATTTATTTTCATATATTCTGACATTTTTGTTTATTTTTTTTTAATTTTATTAACTTTTTTGACATGTATATTCATTAATCTTTATATATATATTTTTTCAATTTTCCTTTTAATTTTTATTAATCATTAATGTTCATTACCTGTGAGTCTCCTGGCTGCATCTGCATTAATGGTTTGTTCCAGGACTAAGTCAATCGGTTGCTTAGAAAAAGGCTTACTAGTTCTTTGAATGCAAAAAAAACCATTTTTGAACTGTTCATACAAGTCAGGATGAGTTTCGGCAACTTTTAACAAATTATTACTGTATTTAACTGTCCAACGAGCATAATTCTGTTGATTGCATATGAAAAATAAGTTAGTAATTTTTGGCAGTACAAACTTAAATAATTCAAAATCTCCACAACGTATGCTTCTTGACAAGGTTAAATAATGATGAACAAGATTTATATAGATTAAATAAAACTGTGGAGTTTTACCAAACTCGCCATTGAGGGTTTTTTGCTTATAAATATCATAATTCTGTAATAATGCATTAAGCTCGTCATCCTCAATTGTAAGTGAAGATATTGAAGACGTTCTTAGTCGTGTGATTTCTTGGATAATTTGATCACTGATAGTAATATTATTACTCTCCAAAAACGATTTAAAATGTAAAATTTCCAAACCTACAGCCATCAAAGGGTGAAGCCTTTTACACCTATTGAAATGTTTTCCCTCCAGAAATCCATTTACAGAGCCGGATGCTAATAAATTACTCTGTACCATGACGTTTGTTAAGCCACAATGCATAATAAATTTTCCTATAGTTTTGAAGTAAGCCATCATTATATGGAATGGCCCCAAATGTATGAATAAATTATCAAGATCTGGTTTGTGGCTAGCTTGAATTTGTAAGGCTATTTTTGCAATCGCAAGATCATAAGTAACTTGGATGGATGACTGCTTCACTTCTTCACAAATTTGTTGACTCTGTTTCATAGTCTCCAAAACTACTGATTTGTTAGTAGGCGATTGATTTATTGGAGTTAGATATGAAACTATTTGTTGTGGGCTATTATTGTCAACTAGAAAAGAATTAAATCCAACCCACATTGGAACATTCGGTAACTGGAGAGCATGGCTAAACATCCACAGCGTATCGATCGTTTTGTACAGTGGTAAATTTATAGGTTCTGTATCTTCACAAGCTGACGCTTCTAGATCTGTTATCTTCATTTTTTTAACCAATGGTTCTTCACTAATTTCCATAGAAATAGCATCAAAAGTTCTCCGTCTCCTTTTTTGCGAGTTGATAGATACTTCGGTATGAGCATCGGTGATATTTATTAATTGCGGTTCATCTGGGGTGTTCATATCAATATTCTGGTAAATAATACCAACTGTATCGTGCAATGTATCTTTACCAGTCTTTGTCTCCACGAAACGATCAAAATTATCGAAAGCAAGACCGGTGCAGAGATCTGGTGATTTTTTAATTGTTTCAGGACATACACTTGATTTTTCAACTGATGTATATGTTGCTTCTGTTTCGAGCTCTTCCACTCCAGGATAACTGATACAATGCCCATATCTATGTATTATATCAATAATTTTGCGGCTACTTGTTAGACTTTTTAAAGCCATTCCGAGCATAATATGCTTTGATGTTTTTATTTTTCCATTGTAAATGCTATAGACGACATCTTCACAATATGACTTGACTTGACGGATACACTTTTGATTATTTTTACGTCTTCGATTATTACCGGCTATCAAAGTAGAATAAAAGTCCAGTAGATCTTGTGGCACAGATATTTCTCCGTCCTGCAAATGTTGTATTGTTAAGTTATGAGGTAACTTTTTTTTTTCAGCTTGTAAAACAGATTTTCTCAATAATAGAGCAGCTTTAAGTAAAATATCTTCATCTTTTAGACTTTCGAGTGTTTGCTCATCAATAGCCACTACATTTTTCGGCGCGACTAATTTTTTATTCTGAATAATAAAAATTTTTATCTCTTTACCATATTTTTTCTTAATTTTTGATTCCAAAATGTGTGCTTTAAAATCCCCTCTAATTCCGACATCATTATTTTCATCACTTTCATCTAATAATCCGATATAACATCGACAAATATAACTCAGGAAGTAACACCGTCCTTTTTGAATTATATTTTCTTCAATAAAAGAACATATTTCATGAAAAGCTGCTCGGTGTTGTTCACGAAGACTATGCCAATGAGTTGTAGTAGTTTTTTTGTTTGATGAAGTTTCATAAGAAAAATTTAATTGACAGATATTGTGATAGTGTATTTTAGAATGTGGATAATTTACAATTTTTTCCAAGAATTCTGTATGATTTTCATATTGATTTTTAGCTTTAGATAGAAATACATTTTTATCTGACGTAATTAGAGGCAATCGTTTAGACTTGTGCTTTTTAGTTTTTTGATCACAATATATACAAGTAAGATTATTTGGAGAATTATTTACATCGATATCAACTGCAGTATTACTGTCAGAAAGTGAATCAATATTTTCAGGATGATCAATATATTCTTCTAATCTTGGAAAATCCGGTTCGACCAACTCAGGTAAGACAGATGGGCTAGGTATTGTAGTAGTGTCAGGTATAACAGCTGCTGCTGGATTAAAATGTTGAGACGTAGATGCTTCTGGCTGAATACATTGTGTATCTAATTCAACTGTCGTTGAGATATCAGTGGATAAATTTTCTGCAATGCTTAATAACTTTTCTGTTGAATTAGCTTTCTCGGTTGCCGTATTTTTTGGTAAATAGTACTTTTTATTTAACCCTGTAAACGATTTGTAACAGTTTCTGTGATAACCACTTTCAAATAGTTCACCCGGCAAAACAACGTCTTTAAATTTTAGGTTATGTTCCTTTCTATGCTGTAAAATCACTCGACACTTTTTTAATGTCTCTTCCGTAAATAATATTAAATTTTCATCACAATTATTGCAAAATACACAATTTAACAAATTAGCCATTATATTTTTTCAAACACTGCAAATATTTGTATTTTTTTATACGAATTGCTACTTAAATCACAACACAGCTGACGCACTCAACAGACGCGATACATTAACTAGTGGGTAAGAGTAAACCGAATAGAAGGAGAGAAGCAATGACACTCATGTCTGTCTCACTCGCACTTATGCGCACGGATAATGCCCGTGCCCCTACTCTCAGCGACATGAAAATTGGGTCTGGTGAATGTTTGGCCCCTTGGATCGGTCTGTCCGTTTGCAAAACGTTTTAAAATAGTTGTTTGAATAACATATATAAAAATCAAGCATCAGAAAATAAGTGACCTTAATTAATTTTTTTAATAGCTTTGAAGCGTCTGTAAGGTAAAACCGCCGACCGCATGTGTCTGGGAGTAATGAATCCTGATTTTTAACGATATTGTGTGAAATATATGTTAAAATCAGCTATCAGAATTTAAGTGAAGTGAGCAGTATTTCTATGTACCTTGATTAATTGCTACCTGAAAAAGGGCCGTCTGGCCAAGGTAGCAACTAGTCATATGATCATAGCACACCCCACCACTACTCACTCGTATATATTTTGTCCATCAGAAAATAAGTGACGTCTGGGAGCTCTGGGATCTTGGACTAGTAGGTAAAGTTCGTGAAGCCAAGGCATGTCGATGTAAGACACAATGAGTTATTATGACTTGAGGAATCTCTTTCTTAAGCAAAGCCGCGAAACCAGACGTATCACCAAGCATTGCGGGAGCTCCATCGGTGCAGATACTACCAAGTCTAGTCTTCCAGTCCAGCTTTTGTAGTCTCCAAAAGTGAATTGCAAAAAAGACTCTTCTTTAATACTACGTGTGCCTTGTTGTACGTAACGGACAAATACCAAGAGTTGGCTACAATGTGACACATCGGTACTTTCATCCATTTGAATGCTGAATGGAAACGGGGAAGCAATTCATTCAACAACTTGTAAAACATTTGACAATATTCAGCAATTCTAGAACGAATAACATCGTTTGATAAGAGAACAGCTTCAACTTTGTTTTTTTTATCCTTACCACAGACAAGTTCCACAATATCCAGTGCGCAGAGTTTCACTAATGTTTTCGCGATAGTGTGTGGCTTCTTTTGCTGAGCAATACGGTATGCAACCTTGTACGATGCCTCAAGACATGGTTTTTGCGTCGGGGTGAATCCAAGTTTAGGTAAAGTGCCGGACTTTTCAAACCGAGCCTAGGGATGTTCGCCGCCCTACACTATTTCTTTTCTTAATAAATATGTTTACAGTTAACTGGAGTAATGCGGACCGCGGGCTCCTTATACATACGTATGCTATGGACCGCACTTTAAGAAACCCTGGGCTAGAGTATACATTATTAAACTACGCGATATCATATCATCATCAGTCGGATTTTTTACTAATTGACAGCAATTCGACTGAGCTTTAAATGACTACTTGGAATTTAGAATTTCAATCTAAAAGATGATTGAAGCGGTGTGCTAGTCACACTACCATTCTAGTCGATTTACTAATTTCAAGGCATGTGATAACTCTTCCCACTGGATAGGTTGCCGACGCACAGTTCCAGTAAGCCGGCAACGGTTTTGATATTCTTCAATAATCATGTTTTTAAAGATACAGGAGAGATGATTAAGATGATGTTAATACGGCTTCTTTAAATATAAACTTTTTCCATTGATGTTCCTTGTGGAGAACCCGGGCTTCCGACCATTTTATGTTGTGGTACTTGAACCGCACATGGTCTGACTTCATTGTTTTATTCAAAGTAACCTAATATTACCGTATTTATGTTTGACAGTAGCATCTTAAAATCTTTTAGGTTTGGTGAGCAAATAATACAGTCAGTTCGGATTATATAAAATACCTTTTTTAATTTCCCATACAAAACCCCAAACCTAACCAACCCAAATTTTAGAATTAAATAGCTAGTAGTATTATTTAAATGAGTTTCCTGTAAAAGGCTAGATAACAAAACTAATTATGAAGTTACAAAAGAATATAGAAAAACATGAACTTTGTGAAAAAAGTGGAGAATAATATGGAATAGGTATGGAGAATAATATGGGATGAGTTATTTCTGCAGGCATCATGAGCCAATTCTTTACGAAAGACACAGCTGCTTGCCTTCGAATGTTAACTTCATGCAGCCTATTTCTTGCAATCTGGGTTGAAATTCGCGTTCCTCTGGCGATAGTAAGAAGATTTTGTTGGTTTCTACGGTAAGTGTTCTTTCACGAAGGGCGGCTTGATCATGATACCGATCTTCCCACCTCGTGTCCGCTTTATTCCTTGAAGATATGGTCTGTGGACGACAAAACCATATTCACTGTGTCAATTCTATAGTCTAGAAATGACCAATTGTGTAACATGCAAAAGCTGCGACACGTATCGTTGCGACCGAACCTCCTACAAGTTATGGCTCTGATGACTTCTTCAAGATTTAAACGCCTAACACCGTTTGGTCTCCCCAAAACATTAAAATTTTCCATATTTAACACCAGTTTTGACTATCAAGGAAGCAAAATCCCACTAAATAAGAAACTTATTTTATGTAATTTATGCGCCTCTATGGCTATTTTTTCATGGCTGGAAAGAATTTCGTTTCTGTATCAATTTATGCATGAAAAAAGGCCAAATTGTTATGATGATACGCTGCTATAAACAAACGGGATACATTAATAAACATAATAAATACAGATACACATAAAAGTGATCCCTAATTCGTTTTGATTAGTTTATTATTTCAGTGCTATTTTTTATTATCTACTACTATTTGTTTTTCTTATTTCAGTGTATCATCACCTTAGCCCAACTGCTGGTCGCTGACGTCTACGTCCTCATAAACTACGTTCAGTTTGTCGAAGCCCTTTTTATAACCATCAGCGTATTAGGCCTGCTTTACATGCGTTACACGAGACCCGACGCCAACCGACCAATCAAAGTCAATATGACCTTGCCGTGCATTTTCTTCGTCATATGTACCTTCTTAGTGATATTTCCGTGTTACGCCAGTCCGGTTGAGGTAGGCGTTGGACTGGCATTTGTTATACTGGGCATACCTGTGTATTACATAACAATCGGATGGAAACACAAACCCAGGTGGTTGCAGGACTTTTTCGATAATTTTAACAATTGGTGTGCGAAGTTGTTCATGTGCGTGCCCGAACAAGTATCCGATAAAGAACTGTGATGTTTGAATCGTGAAGATCTATTGTAGGGAATTATTTTTTAGATTTTTTTATTAATGCAGGGTAAGATTGTGCGATGAAAACGAGAATGACGCTTATATTAAAAGTGATTGTTTTACAATATGACTTAAAGAATAGACGTTTGGACGAAATAAATTTTATATTTGAACATATTTTCAATTTTAAAAATATTATAATTTGTTTGTGAAGACTTAAGTTTATTTTATTATACAGTATGGGCCAATGTATCCTAAAATGCTTAGTTTCGGAGATACAGGGTGTAGAAATTTCATTATTTTGATTTTTTTCCAAATAATTTCTTAAGTAACGTCAATATATGGATGAAAATTGGTGTCTGGGAGTTTTTTGATATGAGAAATTTGATTTTGATGTCAATATGACCCCTACTTGTAGACGGCGCCATCTACATATTTTTAACTGGTTTGAAGAATAATAATTTTTCGTCTGTCCCTGTATAAAACTACTGAGTAAAAAAATATACATTTACGACGTTTTTTACGTAAAAAAGGTCTCTTTATAAAAATCGCTACGTGTAATGGTTCCCGAGATATTTGGAACTGAAATTATCAATACCGGTCATCATTGACATAAATTATATATGTTGACAAAATAGTTTAGACTGCAATCATAAATTTGAAATGATTTTGTATCAAAAGTTCAACAGAAACTGTTTTATCGTCATTTTTGCGAAGAAAAATTTATGATTAATTTAAAAAAATAAAAAGTGCCCAAATTTGTAATTTCAGTGAAATGACTATCTACTCAACATACCGGGTTAACTTACCGTCTCGAAAGTGGCTCACCCCTATAAATTTTATTTTTTCAGATAAAAAAGGAGTTTAGGTATGTTAGTGTCATAAATTAGGATTGATTAACGTATTCAATTATTTTCAGTCACTTCTTTTTTCACCGGAAATAACTACAACTTTTGGTTTTTAAATGGCACCCTCAGTATTTTTTTCCTTTGTTTGATAGAGAATGACATTCTGAATAGAATGACATTATCATATGTCAACTTTTGACATTCTCGCTTAAATGAAAAATTTCTTTGATCGTCTAATGTTTTTAGTGTCTTGTACTGGCCGGTTAAAAGATGCCCAAATCGTATTTTTGATCATATATATCAATTTTTTCAAATAGAACGAGGGTGGCTCATTAGCATATTTGGAAAAAGCATTTTTTACGAATAATTTGGGATCACACATTTGGTATTTCGAGTCAAATTGACGTTATGAATCGCGTGTTGCAATTTCAAATAAACCATATTCGAAAATGTCAAAAGTTAACATATAATATGTCATTTTATTCAGAGTGTCATTTTCTATCGAATAAAGTAACAAAATACCGAGGGTACCGTTGAAAATTCATTGTCGTCAATTCCGGTGAAATAGGAAGTGAGCAAAAACTATTGAATACCGTCAATTAATTCTAATTTATATCATATACTAACAACTAACACACCAAATCTTGTTTTTTTATCTGAAAAAAATGGAAAAGTTATAGGGGTGAGCCACTTTTGAGACGCACCCGGTATTTATTTTTTGTCAATGATGACTATTTCCATTCCAAATATCTTGAGAACGGTTGCTCGTAGCGATTTTTACCAAGAGATACTTTTAACGTAAAAAATCACGGAAATATGTATGTTTTCACTTCACTCAATAATCGATACAGGTCGAATGAAAAGTTATTACTCTTCAAAACACATGTAGGTGGCGCTCCCTACAAATAGAAGTCATATTGACATCAAAATCAAATTTCTCATGTCAAAAAACTCCCAGACACCAATTATTGTCATCCAAATATTGACGTTAATTCAGAAATTATTTGTAAAAATTCGAAATAAAAATTTAACTTCTACACCCTGTATCTCCGAACCTTAGCGATTTAGGACATACATTTATACGAACTTATTTTTATCTGCAGAATATGCTGCCGAAGTTTCTGGAATACAGTTCGGATCACCCTGTATATTTTGGGTGTTTTGTCGCTTTAGAAATTTAGAAACAGTACTGTTAGTTGTTGATGTCACAATTCCCTCACTAGGTAAAAGTGTTTTTTGTTGTAATTGTCGATTGATGTGGTACTACGAAACCAGAAACCAACTCGGCATGGCATTCTTGATAAGACAACATATTATTGCGTGAAAATTTTCTCGACTTAATTCCATTTTTCGACTGATTCGTAAACTTCAAAAATTCAGTTTAGGTCCAGCTTTAAACGAAGCGGTTTAAAATTTTAGCCTTAACTAAAGATGACAGTTAATTTTGACGTTTGATATACAGGGTGTCCCTGGCTGAGCGTGCATTAGAAGTTTCTATAGAACCACAATATCTAGATCGGAGATTTTTTGCATATCATTGTTTTACAACTAGATTTATCGATTAAAAATATTTTCACTATGGCGTCACTTCCGGAAATACCATAATTTTGATGTTAAACACTCTATACCTAACATCGTAATCGTTTTTGAGAAAAAAATATTTAAAATTTTTGGACGAAAAAAACTACCTGTCAAAAAAATTTGTATAGCCTAAAAGTCAAATTTAGTGATTACTAGTAGTGGGAAGTATCGAATGAATACTATCGAAACATTCGATAGTTGCAATTCATTCGAATAATTCGATAGTTAGTAAGAAAACATTCGTTGAAAACTATTCGAATAAAAATTATCGAATAGATCCGTCATCTGCCTTGAAATATTGTATTCAGTAATTCGGCAGCAAAAACCATTCATTTATAAAATTCATTCATTTATGAAATTCATTTATTCGTCATGATCCATTATAATAAAATATTAACTGAATTTTAGTTGTCGCACGGCGACGTAGGTTTCTTTCCGAGAAACCCGACAGCGGTCGGTGGCAATGCTATGAAAGAAGCCGGCGTCTTTGATTTTTTGCGGAGTCAGATATAAATAAGGACACATTATTTTTTTTATTGAGGTGCTGGTATTTATACAGAAAATACATTATGAAGGGCGCTGTTGCCATATTTTGGTATTAGTTGATATTAGCAAAGAATATTATTGTTTGGCTTTAGTTAGTTAGGGATAGTATGTCTATATATTTTGCATTTTTTTATTAATATTCTGTTGTTACACTGCAATAATACTTGTTATTTTGGATGTAGGAAAATTATTTTTAATGTTTTTAAGCAAAGACTGGTTTAATAAATAATAATAACAGTCATAATTTGTTATACCTATTAACAACAAAATTTGAAATCATTTAATATAAATATTTTTTTTAAGTAGTAGCAAAATATAAACAACAAATTAGATGTCAAAATTATTTATATTAGATCCTATTTAAAAATAATATAGTCTCTAAATTTTTTGGGGGGCAACTTTGGTTTATTAAATAATAATAATAATTACAGAACTAATTTGTTATATTAACAACAAATTTTAAAATCATGAAATATAAACATTTATTAATTTTCTAAGCATACAATGTAATGGAAGAAAAATATAAATAAAAAATTAGAAATCAAAATTATTTATATTAGGTGCTTTATATTACTGTTTAAAAATTATATTTACTTTTACTGGCATTTACTTTAAAAAATAAATGAAGAGAGAATTAGCATAAACAAAATACAAACATCGTTAACTTCTTTTTTTAAATTGGCACGTGTAAAACTTTCATTTTAATTTTCTCACACCATAGTTTGAGTTCGATAACCCCCCATTTACTTAACCACATTACTTAAATATGATTATTAAGTTCAACTAATTCATATTATTAAAACATCTAAAATACAAATATGTATTTTTAAAATTAATTGTAAGTTCATCTCATCTCTCTTAAAAATTGTTACTTCTCAAAATTTCCCATTAAAAAATAGACCATATATCATATAAAATGCACACAATCGTCAATATATAAAATTAAAAAATAACTATTATTTTAATATTTTAACTATTTTAATAAACGCAAAAATAGCACAGTATTTATACGGCGAAGTTATAAAAATTTGGAAGAACTAATAATGCACTGACGCATACAAAAATCAAACGAATACTAAATTTCATTTTTCATTTATCAAAAGCATTCGATAGTCGTGGCTCAACGATAACCATTTAGTTGCACGGCGAGGTTGTCACATATGCTTTAGTATACAAATGAATGAATGATTTTATTCGAATAAAACCATTCGATAGTTGAAATCATTCATTCATTAAACATTCGATAGTCTAATTCATTCGATAGTTCCCATCGCTAGTGATTACCACAGCCACTGTGACACAAACAGAAGTCATGTGGCTATCTATTTTAAGAATTAAATTGTTCAAATGTCAATATAATAATGGCGGTAGCTGTCATGGAATTGAGCAATCACAAATTATTTTTTTCAAATGGAAACCCACTTTTTTTTATTTCACTAATGAAAGGGTTTTAAATTCGTTACTTTTTAACTATACATGTTCCTATACTTAAAATAAATCGTTTTTAAGTTATTTCAGATTTAATTAAAAACGTATATTTTTCTTGATTTTATCTAGCTTCGTTTGACATTAAGTGTCAAACGGTCAGACAATTTATTTCCATATGTCAGAAATTTTCTATATCTCTATGTCTCTATCTGTAGAAATATCCTATATTATAAATACTGCCTGCTTAAGAATTTAAAAAGTATATTTATAAAAATATATCTCGTATTTTCACTCTTTAGTGATATCTAATAATTGATATTATTAATAATATTCCTTATGATCGAAAAAAAAACAGGGCAAAGTTGGCTCGAAAATGATGCTGCTTTTTGAACAAAGCGTCACAATATGACATGGCCAGATCTATTGTTTTACCTCACTTGACGTTTAAAGTCGTAAGCTACTAGTTAAAATCAAGGAAAATATATGCTTTAAAACTAAAGGTACATTCAGGCTGAGAGCGTCGAGCGTCGCGTCCGGCGAAAGCTCTCATATATTTACCCAGACTGTGAAAAAATACTTACTAGAAATACCTAAAATTGTAACTATTTCTTCAAGTAGCCGATCACGCAGATTTCTGTTTCTATATTATGGCAATTTTTTTTGAATGTACCTTAAATCTGAAATAACTTAAAAACGATTTATTTTAGGTATAGGAACATGTATAGTCAAAAAGTGACGAATTGAAAAGCCTTTTCACTAGTGAAATAAAAAAAGTGGATTTCCATTTGAAAAAAATGATTCATGATAATTTTTTAAACGCTCAATTCTATGATAACTGCGGCCATTATTATATGATATTGGAACAATTTAATTTTTGAAATAGATAGCCACATGTTTTTTCTTTATGGCACAGTGGCTGTGGTAATCACTAAATTTGACGTTTAAGCTATACACATATTTTTGACAGGCAGTTTTTTACGTTCAAAAATTTTAAATATTTTTTTTCTCAAAAACGGTCAATGTTAGATATAGAGTGTTTGATATCAAAGTTCACAACATTTTAGAGAGAATTTAAGTATGTAATAAAAAATGGGAGCACCCATTTAAAATAAGGAAGCTGCTGTCAACTTTTGGTATTTCCGGAAGTGCCGCCATATTGAAAATATTTTTAATCGATATATCTGATTGTAACTATGATGTGCAAATAATCTCCGAGCTAGATGTTGTAGTTCTCTAGAAACTTCTAATGCACGCTCAGCCTGGGACACCCTGTATATGTCAGGCAACTACTATGTTTCTATATGCAAAATTTGAAAGACCACCCTCGTATGGCATAGAATAGTTTTTTTATATTTGAAGTTTTATACGTTTTATATTTAGATAAATCATTATAGAAACGGATAAATTATGAGTCAGTAATGTGCTAAATTATACAAATTTAACATTTTTATGTTAATGAATCGTAATGTATTTTTTCTATAAATGCAACATAATGAAAAATAAATTAGAGTATTTGTTGTAATTACGTATATGTAAAAACAGCGTGATAATTCTTAAGTCAT